ACCCGCAATCCGGAAGCCCATGACGTTATTTCTTTACCAAACGTGCGTCTTTGGGCTTGTGAACCTCACCCGATATCCAGTGATCGGTTAGAAATACTTAAGACTCTTGCCACTTTAGACGTATACGGTTTTCGACCAGCTCACTCCACTGCATCGAAAGCACACATCTCGTTCTTCTCTAAACCCCTACGCAAGTTACAAACGCGTCGCGTTTCAGTAGCAGCTACTGGTCCAGTCTCAACAGTTGTAACAAAATCGAACAGTCTTCGAAGTCCTCGTGCCTCGGTATCCAATACACAATTGATTGCGGGCGCAGACCGCTCGGAGACGTTGATCAATCAAGGACTCCAGTTGTTATTCCACAGTGAATACCTTCTTGTAGTTGAGTACATCGAGTGTATTGTTCCAATTGTGTTCGTAGCATACCAGTTGGTGCTGTACCAGTTGCCCAACGTTGTCTACGCTCCTGGAGGTGCTGAAGGGTGGCAGAGTGGGGCGGTTGAGAATATCTTGTTGTTAATCGTTCTCGAGGTCTGTTCATTGCTCGTGTTGAAAGTGCTTTTGGAGCGCAAGTTCGCGTTTTCCCCGCTCCACCAGTTGGCATACGTGCTGGAAACGCAACTCGAACATGTCCAAGCCGACGTGTTCATCGCTACTATAATTCTACTGCCCTTTGAGATCAATCATTTCGGTACGGATATGTTGTATATAGTTTCCTTTATTACTGTTCACTGACAATGATTTGTGGTAGGTATGGATTTTACTTTTCAATTCGAATGGTTTCGTGCCACGTCTGAGTAGCGCTTGTTATTTTATTATTCAGCTTTAGCTTTTAAACGGGGAGGCTACAGTTAACGAATAAGTATACATATGGTACCGCATATATTGAGTATTTCTCACAACAATTCGTCATCGCGCCTTTGAGTTTATATTACGAGCATCGTCGTAACAGGAAAACCTCCTCTTTGCTTTGGTTTTGAAGTGCTCAATATTTCCTAGTTATAAGTTGCTTAAGTACTGCTCTCATCCCGCGTTTCATTTTTTCACATCAGTGTAATAATTTGTGAGTATCATACAGTCCGTGTACCGGAGACATAACATTTGAGCAGAGGCCCAGATGCCTGAAACACGTCTTCCTCGTCTTTTAAATCGCACGCAATTTAAGTCTTTGTCTGTATGCTGTTGAAACGGAGGGAAATTCATTTCCGTTAACATGCTATTACAAATACTCAATTAATTGAGGGAGAAGATGAGAAACCAACGTCTCCCTGGATCAAAGTGTTCACTGCTACAGTGTACGCCGATACCGTCATTGTGGCGTTCTCAGCATGGTACGCCTCAGTACCGCATTGCACCTTGGTGAGGTACTGCTTACCATCGGGTGCAACGTCTTTCGGTAGGTTGTCAATGAACTCCGTGAGATCCCCCGAGAAATTCTCCGTCAGCTTCGACGCGACATATGAGAACACCGTCATGTTTCCATTCACGCCGTGGTTGAGCATGAACTCGACGCCACTAACAGTGATGTTCTTGATGTTCTTGCCCTCACTCGACAGCGGCCACGCCGTTCCGATAGCCGCGAGCCACACCATAATCTCAAACTCGAAGTCTCCATCGGGTGTTGAACTGGTAAACAGATCGTACGCCACATTAGCCGTTGTGGTCGGTTCGTGCTCATAGGTATAGTTGATGGTCGTAGGGATCGATTCGACATTCGCGAGCTCTAAGGGCTTGAAGTGAAGCCCGACGTTCGGGTATCCTTTGACGTTCCAAGTGATGCCGCCCCATTTGTAGTTCGTGGTCCAACCAATAGTGCTATTATCAGCCGAGGTGCTGAGGAGAGTCGTACATTGGTGACCCGTGCCCGGGTCGTTGTCTTTGCCCCACAGATTGTTGTACAGAGTGTAATCACCGACCACTGCAGTGTCCCAGTCGCCACACATCGCTTTCTCTGCGTAGGTCGAAGCTGCGAAGGCACTAAGGGTAACAACAGCGAAAAGGAACTTCATGTTGACTAGCTTAGTGATGCTCAATGATTTTGAGCTGCTGGAAGCGAATTGTCGAGTGACATGATTACTGCATTCGTTTTCGAATGAGTTCCAAGAACCCCGTTGGGGTAGTA